AGCATGCCGTTATTGAAAAAAAGTGAAGAAAACATTTAAGAAATTAGTCGTAATCAGAAGGCACGAGTTAGTTTTTGCCATTGGGTTGAGCTTAAAATAACGTAGGCAAAACTGAAGGGTAGGTTTTAAGGTGTTTTGATTAACTGGCGAGTAAGATGAGAGATGTCATCATCCTTCAGCAAAGCGTATAATTATATATACGATTGCAACTTTCGGTATCCGCTTATATCGATGGTTACTAAACTTGGGCAAAAACCAAAGCGGGTTTTGCACAAGATATTCAACAAAACAGCGTGATTGTGACTAGCTGTGACTTATAGAAACAGCAGGTGACCTTTTTGAGTTAGGCTTTTTTGAGATTACAGAAGTGTTTAACTGGTAATAAGCAATTCGAGCTTATTATCTTGTTGTTGGATGGGCCTGTCCATCATACATAAGTTTGCTACGATTGAGATGCCGCTCCGTGAAGTTGTAATGCAGCTCACTAATAATATGCCGTAGATCTACAACTCAAACGCATTGCACACTGGTGTGCCTTGAAATGCAATGCATTGTTAGTGCAGTCTTTAAAAGAGCGAGTAAAAGTGACGAAACTTCTTTGAGCTAACTAAACATTGGGTGTCAAAATTGAAAATGCTAGTGTACGCTGCAAAACTGTGCTTAGCAATAAAACACTTTTTTAAACACTTTCTAGCTATCAGTTTGTAAACTAAAAACTAAACATGATTAGAGTAAGGATGGATAAGTGCATGTTTAGCAATTGAACACATAATAATATTTAGCTTATAAACATTTTTACAAAGTGATAGCAAGATTGTGTTGAACTGCCAAACACAGCTTTGAGAGTGTACACTTATCCAATTTTGTCATTATTCTTAGTTTTGTTATTATTCTGACTCTTCCATGCCTGAGCGCATATCAAAACTGGATCTTGAAATTAAGCAGCATGTGTGTTCTGTGAAGCTTTGATCACGTCATCAAGGGGGGGGGGGGGGGCTGTCTACCCGATGTTCCCGAATACCTATATTCCCCAATACCCATGTTGCAGTTGAGTCACCAATGCCGAGTCCGAGTCTCGAGTCACAAGCCTCGAGTCCGAGTCCGAGTCTCGAGTCACAAGCCTCGAGTCCTAGTCCGAGTCTCGAGTCACAAGCCTCGAGTCCTAGTCCGAGTCACGAGTCACTTGTTCCTAGTTGTTCACCAAACTGATCACATTTTTTTAAAAATTATTTTTCAATCATCCATTGTCTTTTAATCCCAGTGTATATAGTACGTTTACCTTGTGTGTGTGTACATGTTGTTTAGACCCAATATGAGTTTTCCTTTTAAAGGGAATATACAACATTTGCAAACATCGAAAAATAAAACTACCAAGTTTTTGCGAAATACCTTAATAGGATGTTGGTAAATGACAGTCTAAAGCATCCTGTAAAATTATGGCACCTGGTATACTGTCATTTTCAAGAAAAGTGGTATTTTTGTATCAATTTCCAACGCTGATCGGCCGATCAGCGTTGGAAACAACTGGCTTTTTTTCAAATACTGGCCCCAATTGACCATTGCACTTGTTTGCAATCGATTACAAACCTATGAACGGGTACGAGCCAGCTAGACTGGTTCCCTGACCTTACAATTCCCCAATGTATATAAACTGCTCTGTTTCTTCTTATATGGAGTCAGGGAACCAGACTACAGGAAAATGATCGTTTTTCTTGGTTTTTATAGCATTTTCGAACCCAAAACCTCCAAAAAGTCAGTGTAACTATATTTGCTTTATATTTCCAACCCCCCAATTCCATCCATTTCTGAAAATTACAGCAAAAGCAAATGATGTATATTCCCTTTAATTCCCATCCCTAAAAAACCCTCCTCCATCCCTTCCCTCCATGTTTATCATCCAAATATTATTCCTCAGTGATCCTTTCCCATCCCTACCCCTTCCCTTGTGACGTCCCACTTTGTTCCAATTATTCGATTGTTTTGTAGTCTGTGACACTGTGTATATCCTAGAATGCCACGTTCGTCGCACAAATATACGCAACGTTGTTTTTTTCTTTTGATGAAAATACGTGACTCGAGTCACCAAGCTCGAGTCCGAGTCATCATGGTCGAGTCCGAGTCCGAGTCATTTTCCAATGTGACTCGAGTCGAGTCCGAGTCACGAAAAATGTGACTCGAGTCCGAGTCCTAGACTCGAGTCCTACAACACTGCCAATACCTATGTTCCCCAAAATCCCTAGGATAAGGGTAAAGGTTGGGGTTGGGGAACATAAGTATTGGTAACATAGGTATTGAGGAACATAGGTATGCCCATCAAAGGTGAGTGATTTGCACAATCTTCGACCTTTCGATGTTTGGAGCGCCCCAGTAATGATGAAAAAGATATCTCTTATGGGCAACTTCGATAACTCTTTATATTGGCTAATGTCGCTCAGGTTAGCAAATGTCATAGGCCCTAATATAAGAATACTAGATTTTGCTGAAATTTTCGTCCCTTATTTATGCGTTCATGTGACGTGAAATAGTGGCATTTCAGTTGCATAGGAGGCGTTCTCCATGGATTGCTGTAGACCGCTTGGCGTGTTTCCAAGAGAGCGTCGGTAATATGAAACTAAAAAAGCACCGGCGTGAAATATCAACTAAAAAAGCACCGGGGTGAAATATCAACTATTAAGCCATAAAAGAGATATTCAAGGAATATTTGCTTAATCTTCAAGGAGGAAAATATGATACGGATGTCCTGGCAACGGTGTGCCGCGATGTGCTTTTGCATCGTTCGTGCTGAAGAAAAGATGCTACACGTCGGGCTAAATTAACCTTTAATGCAGCGCTCATCGAAATGTCAGAATACAGTCGTTTTCCTAAATAACACCTCGGGACACCCAGTTTGCCCTTTTTCGAGTAATTCTTTTTTTGCCAACTCACTGCACTTATTATAATGAAATGCCAGCTTATTGTCCTTTTCACCAGCCCATCTCCGTGTGAAAATAGCACGGAATCTAGAACTGCTTTTACTCTAGCACGAATGGCTGTGTCAACACGCAGTCATTCTTGTTGCAGGGATCGGTCGGGGCCCCTGAGGATAAAAGCGGACGGGCCCGGGGCATGGGCACAAGCAATATACGCAAGAGACCAACAAACAATATTGTGCTGTCAACAGGCAGTTCGATCAGCGCTATCCACTGGTTTGGAAGCAAACGTGTGGATACCATCAGGTCTGTCATATTTTGCAAACCTCATGCATACCTGTTCATTGTTCTGATGCACTGTCTGCAATACGTCATGTTGATGCTCTTGCAACGATTTGTAAAGAATCACTGAAGAGCATGATTTTGTATTTTGCCTCTCACGAAATGCATTTTGTTCTATTCAAGAATGGGGTGTGAGGTTGACCTACATATACTAACTGACAGTGATGGAACTTTCGTCTGAATTTTTTTTAACAGTATAGCCCAATACATTGTACTGCTTTAAATCGAGGTATTCTTTTATCGGAAATATTATTGTATACGGCCAAATTTCGAGAGCAGCCATTGCGAAGTTCAAGACACGAGCAGGTACATGGCAATAGGTTGAAGTTGGAATGTTAGAGTTTAAGATGACTGTTATTTAATCAGTTCAAAGGTAAGGCTGTCACCATATGTGTCTCGCTCTCATCATATATAGTGTTGTAGTCGAGTACATTTCCATGAATACGAGCACGATACTTTGCCATGAGTACTGGTACGACTTTGTCATGAATGCGAGTAAGAGCAGGCATAAGGCGTTTTTTCCCCCGCGATTACGAGTACGAATACGAGTACCCCAAAAATATACTCGACGAGTACGAGTATGGGTACAAGTACGAGTACTTTCCAGGAGTAGGAGCAAATGTCAATGAGTACAAGTGTTCTCAATGGCTCTTTGCTGATAAAGTAGGCATTAAACAAAACAAATTGCACGTACCTCTTAAAACAAATGTAAATTCTTCCGGGAGAACATTGGCAAGATTACGAGTACGAGTAATTTGTCGTACGAGTATATACGAGTACATGTATACGAGTACGAGTACGAGTACGAGTACTTTGTCATGCGAGTACGAGTACGACTACGACTACGAGTATGAGAACGAGTACTATAACACTGTCATAATTATCACCTAAAATGGATAACCCTTGATGGGAAAAATAATATCATGAAAACAAAACATATAGTAGATGTTACCTGTGACGTAGAACGGAAAGAAACGCCAAGAGAAATAAGAGTGACATTATGTATTAACCGCTACATATTTTTTAGAAAGCTTTCAATCTGCGGGATATTCTAAAAAAAAAGCTGACATCCCAAGATTATTGTGCACGTAGGCAGTTGGTAGACGGGACTCATTCACTTTCTTAAATTTATGTTCGAATTCTTATTTTGCAGGTGAAATATCTTCGTTTTGCAGGATGTAAAATGTTGAATAAAACATGTTTTCAGTTTAAATATAAAAACCCTTTTCCCGAAAAAAAAATATTTTCCAAATCAGAAGACATTTTTTTTCGAACCTCAAAGTTCCTTACCTAAAGGTGAGTTACAACTGTGGCGATTTGTTTCGATCTTATGTACATTAGACGATATTCGCATATCATAATAATCTACATACATCATAAAGCAGAATGATTCTATTGATCCATATATCGACTTCACGCGCCGGTTGACATTTGAAAGAAGGACAATCTCGTGGAAATGGCAGAAGCGCGTATCAGATCTCCATCTGTTGCTTGAGAAAACACTGACGAACAAAGACCATCACCGGTGCCTTGTGACAGAGGACACAGGAGAAATCCCGAAGGTTTAGAGTTGCACTCCCTAGCGGCCCCGCTGTTTTGAGGGAAGAAGACACACAAATCCCGATGTTATTGGAGTTAGCTTCTAGATTGAGGTTTAATAGCACCACCTGTCTGCGCGAGAAGTGGAGATATAAATAACTGGAAATTGGAAAGAATGATCGATATTTTGTTTTGTTTCCAGGATGGGTTGTGTGGAGAGCGCAAATGAGAAAGATGCTAAGCGGCAGCGCGAGGGCATGGCCATGCAGGCCAATGATCATCGCCGCAACGTTCCAAGGGCCATGGGTGATAACCAGAGGAGACAAGGATCTCACAGTCAGGGGAAGCAGGGCTCGCGTCAGACGAAAGTCTTAGCCAAGGGAGTAGACATTGCCATCCAGACGGAGCAGACGGCGGGGCTGTTACTGCGGCGAGTCAGTAGCAGGATCAGGCAGAGACACAAGAAGTCCTTGGAACCTCCCGATCGGACCCTCCTCTTCGACCTCAATCGCAGCGTGGCTCTGAATCACTCCAGGGTGTCGCAGTACATCGAGCAGGCCCTGGATATGCCCGGGGAGCATAACGGTTCCAACGCTGCCCACAAGATGATGCTGCCCAATGGGAGCATCGTGTCCAGCGTTGAAGCACCGTTATCTGACAGGGACAAGAAGCTTCTCCAAGGATGCTGGAAAGAGGTGCAGAAAGATTTGATCGAGTTCGGAGTGGATTTGTTTGTCAGGTGAGTTTCCAAAAATTACTTCTATATTTGTGGGTGGTATGACGTCAGTTGAGTGAAGCATAATAGACATCTACACGCAAGTTTTCATCGGTTGGTATGTGTTACCAACTAGCACTCCTGACTCAAAAACCATTCAGGTTCAGGGAAATGGGTCTGGACACAAGATTAGAACATTTCAGAATTTATTGGATATCCGCGCCGGCCTACAAAACAACTGTTGCCTAAATTAAGCCCGTGCATAGCACATCTCAGCAAAATCGGGCTGAAGAATATTCCTGAAAACAAAAAAAATCACGTATATACTAGAATCTGAAATCAATTTCATATCAATAGCCTCATACTCTGTCGTTCTGATGGTTTTCCTTTTTGAAGTATTTTGTGTTGCCTATATGTTTACTTCTTTACTATTTTCTTCAGTTTGGACTGTGTAATGGAATGTGTCTATGAAAAAAGGAAAATAAGTGTAAAGTGATTGCCAAATAAGTATCATGTTAAAAAAAAGATAAGGATTTTAGTCTTTACCTGATTCCATGAATAATCCCTGGAATGTCCTTCAGGGTTTTCCCAACTCAAAAAACAAAGTATTTCATCACTGTTTTTCCATTCTACGTTTCTGCTAAGGCCCTCAAGCTACAGTGCGTCTGCACTTTTGTAAGGATCCTTGGTTTTATGACAAGAAAAAAATAAACTAAATATCAAATAAAAATAAATTCAAGTCATGATCGGAATTTCAGGCTTTTGGAAGAAAATCCACCGCTGAGGGAGCTCTTCCCTTTCGGCAAGCTGAATCTGTCACCGGAAAAGCTGAGGCAGAACGCGGACCTTCGCTCCCATGGTCTACGGGTTATGGAGACCATCGGCACGGCGATTGAGGGTCTCAACGAGTGGGATCTGATCGTGCCGATCTTAGAGGACCTAGCGGCGAGGCATAAGGTGTATGGTGCTGTACCCCAGCACTTTAATGTAAGCGGTGTCCCCCCTTGACATTCTTATTTAATTTAATTTTGTCAACGAAACCTACGATTCCTCTAAGTGAAAAAGGGAGAAGACAAAACAAGGGTCAAATAAAACTACTATTGTTCAACAAGAACAAAAAGATTGGAACAATTGTAATTTTAAGAGCCAATATACGATCTACAGAGTGAGTAAAAAAAAAAAACGAAACCCAAATGTCGGGACTATTGTTTTATTAAAGTGCTGATGCATGTAGCACTTTCAATATCTAGGATATGAAAGCCCAATCCTTAAGCTTTCCTTTAGTGCAAGAATCATTCAAATCACTCATGTACTTTTCAAGTTACAGAATTTTAAACACAACCACCGTTTTAAGGTTCTGTCCACGGATCACAAAAAAAGTTCAGTGTTCTTTCAGCAAAACGAAAACATATCACATGAGGATGTGTGTGAATTGTTTTCATTTTGCTGAAAGAACGCACACCCTTTTTCGTTATCCGTGGCCAGAACTTTAAAACGGTGGTTGTGTTTAAAATTTCATAACTTGAAAAGTACACCAGTGATTTAAATAATTCTTGTACTAAAAGAAAGCTTAAGAATTGGGCTTTCATATCCTGGATTGTGAAAGTGCTACATGCAGTACTTCACTAAAACAATGGTCCCAACATTTGTGTTTCGAGTTTTTTTTTACTCAGCCTGTATCGGTCTGTTAATTTATACCATCATTTGTTTCCAGCCCCTCGAACAGGCGCTCACGTATTCCTTGGGAAACGGTCTACCACCCAAGGTGTTTACCAATGAGGTGCAGGGGGCGTGGCTAAACCTCTGGAAGGCGATTGCTACAGTAATGAGCGATACAATGAGGTAAATGAGGTACATAGCTGCAGCCTGCAGATATTTATAAACTTGTAATCGTGATTTTGTTTGCCAATGCTGTGTGAAGTTAATGAGTCTTTGGCTCCGAGGTCATTTGCTAAGTTGGTTGGAAATAGAGACTGAGATGGCAAGAGGTTATATGCAATCTACGTAGAAAAAAAGACTCCAAAAGTCGTTATACAGCGTGCCTCAAAATGAAATGTAGCAATCAAATTACTTTTTTTTCCTGAGGAAACTAAATCTGTTTTTTTATTGTAAAAACAATTACCATGAGATGATACAGTGTTTCTTTACCCTTGACAGGATTTTTGTTCTGTGTGATTTTGTTTAACAGTTACGGCAATGCTTTTAAAGACTCTCAAAATCTGTTTGGGTCACTTTTCAGATTATCTGGTATCTAATGAAAGGCATCCACACAATGCCTTTCATTATAGATACCAGATAATCTGAAAAGTGGCCCAACTTGGAATTCAAGTCCTTTCATTTAATTGGCTGTATCTTTTGACTGGGGGGTCCAAATGAGATGGGATAAAGACCATTGTGTAGAGCATTTTCAATACCTTCGGACCCAGTCTGTAGTTAAGTTTTTCAAAAAGAGAGTGCTAGTATTGTTATACATTGTATTTATGGATTGACTGCTTCATTTTATTGACACACGCTGCATTTCAAGAGCAGCTACTATGGCGATTCAATGTTATGGCCTGACTCCCATCAGGTATATCAAGTCACGGGTGGTAGGTATCTCAGTGGAAATGGTAGATGTGCCACTAGGAGAAAATGACTCCTCCTACCTTTTACCCTACAAATTAATACAGAGAAGGGAGAGGAGTTTTTGAGAAGCACGACGAGGGGCCGATATCTGCTAGAGACAAGCGGCTGGTTCAGGCAAGCTGGAGGTCGGTAGAAAAAGATCTGGCCAACTTGGGTGCAGGTTTGTTTGTCAGGTGAGTTCATTGAACAGAATTTTGCTTCCCCCTTACTTCTAATTTATTTATATCGTTTAAAACACAGTGTCAACAGATATATTCTCCCTAATTAATCGCCTGCTTCCTTTGTTTGTTTTTCGTTGCCGCTATCTTGAGTGGCCTGTGACCTTCTGGTTGGCGATCTCATTAACAAAACAAAAAATGAAAATTAGGGTAGGCATGATATCCATTATATTTATTAGCCTATTGTTCGTGTCATACAAGATGCTAATTCTTCGACGAATCGTTCTAGAAAAATTCCAAGGATCATATACGTTTCCCGTAGTTTTTTTTGTCGAGTGTTATAAAATCCTCAAGTGGTCCTAAATGATTGTGCAAATGTCACATCTCTTCGGATCCTATAGGAACCTGTAGTAGATGTAAACAAACTATAAGAATCCTACAGGATTCCTTTACGATTTCCCTTTTCCTACCTCCCTGGATTCCTGCACCAACACCATCAATTTAAACGACAAGTTCTGTCCCTGTTTTATTCAAAGGCTTCTTGAGAAAAACCCTGCCATCAAGAACCTCTTCCCATTCGGCAAGCTCAACTTGTCCCCCGAGAACCTAAAGGACAACGCGGACCTGCGAGCCCACGGCAAGAATGTCATGGAGACGATTGGCACGGCAGTGGAGACGCTGGACAACCCGGGAAAACTGGTACCTCTCCTGAAAGATCTCGGAGCGAGGCACAATGCTTATGGCACCAAACCGGAACACTTTAAGGTACCATACACTGAGACTAACATACATCAATAAAGATACTTCCTTGGACACCTTCAGACTTCTCCGACGACTAAAATGAGAAGCCATTACTGAGGGGCACGACGCTAATGTTGGCAGGCGATACGCGCGCACTCACAGCTCCTCGACCAATAGGGTTTTCCAACTAGGCTACACGCGCCCTTCAAATCATGTTAAGAACACGTGCGATGAGAGGCGAGCGTGGTATCACCGTGATAATGCCGATCAATTAGTCTATTTGCGAAATAAATTAAGCAAGGTAACACTCCCCCCTTCCAAAAAATAAAATCAAAAATACATAAAAAATACCGGTAACGACATCTTACCCTGAAAATATATGCTTTTGATCATCTCGGATTCGTCGCTAAAGCATTTTCCGATGCTTATTTTATTTAAAGGATGTCAAAAGATCTACGTGCGAAATCATGAATGCTTATCAAAATCATCGTGTTATCAATGCTTATTACCATGGAGCTATAATAGCTCCATGTTATTACAAACTCAGTGAAATCCCCCCTTTCCGAGAACACGTACTTTTCAATGAGTACTTGTAAAATCGGAGTGGAAGCTTTTTGTCTACATTTTTCTCGCACAACTATGAGTCTCATTTTCATTTACATCCAACTGTTTCTTGGTTACGATTTGCAATTTAAAGTATGTGCGAGTTTCAACAATCACCTGTTTTTTTTTATTTTGCCAGCCTCTTGCAGAAGCCTTAATCTTTACCCTGAAGGATGGTCTGCCGCCGAAGGTGTTCACTGCAGAGGTGCAAGGAGCCTGGGAGAATGCCTTGAAGGTGGTTGCAGAACTCATGAGTGAAGCGATGAGGTATAATAACTATTGAACCTATCAGAAAGACAACAGTCGAGTACTTGCGATGGATCATTAGGTACATTACGTGTCCGCTCACAATTGCCTCCATTCAAACATTATTTTTGGTGTTTATCTTAATGGGTACAACAAATGCAAACTTCTCCCTAACGCCTGATAAGTATGTTCACGATTTAAGATTCTATGGTGTCTACACAGAAGGTTACCGTCTTGTTGTTGGAATACAAAAAAACACTTCAAGTGACAGAAGAGTGACGTATTCGTCATAAACCACATACATGTTTTATGTTTTTCAATTAAAGCAATGTTAGTTCCCCTTGGAGATTCCAAGTCAAAGTCCGTGAATCTTATAATCACTTATTCATTTGCTTTTGTAGATTTTGTTATTTCCATATTGAAATGATCACTTCACCGACGTATTGAAACGGAAGCTCGCGGTAGCCTGGACTATTTCCCACCCTTTGCCATTCCACCAGTTGCCTGCAATGTACCTGCTGATACTAAGTCGGATTAGTTGAACTCTTCAAGGTTTGAATTTGTGGACTTGTGAAAGTTTGGTTATTGGAAATATCGCTAATTGTTAATCTTGCTTACTGCAGAAGCGATGATGCTGATGTTGGACCGTTGTCTCAAAGAGACAAACGGCTCGTTCGTGAGTGCTGGAAGGTCATACAGAAAGACATGGTCAACTTGGGTGCAGCCCTCTTTGTAAGGTAAGCAAACGTCAGTTATTGAGGAGCTTAATGCTGGGTCTTTACTTAGGTCAATCATACACTTGGATACCGATAAGTAAAACCTAAAGGACTGCTGCGAAAGTGTCCGAAGTCCTGATGTTCTATAGGCAGCTGGTCAACCCTACACCTTATCAGCTTATATACTGTGTCATCTTCTTGGCAAAAAACCTTCTTTTTAAAAGGTTTACAGTGATGTCCTAAAAATTTTGTTATCAGATTGTTGGAAAAGAGCCCTCCCATTCAGAACCTCTTCACCTTCGGTAAGCTCAACCTTTCAGCGGAGAAGCTGAAACGAAACAAGGATTTGAGATCCCACGGACAGCGAGTCATGAGTACCATCGGTGCGGTGGTGATGGGTCTGGATGACCCAGACATCATCGCTACCATCTTGGAAGACCTTGGAGCCAGACACCAGATGTACGGCGCCAAACCCGAGCACTTTCCGGTAAGAGTCTTGGACTTGTTACGTTTATTATTATTTTGTTTTGGTTTTCACGTCAATCTTTATTATTTATCCCAAGAGAAGCAAGTACCCCTCAAAAGGTAACACACGATGATTATACTCTCTAAATTCCAAAGAGTGAAAATTCACTCCATTCGAGTGAAGATTAACTCCCACAGTCGGAAACTAGGGACTAGACGATTTAGAGTGAAATTTGTTCAATCGTAAAGATCGAGTTTTCACTCGAGCTTCGACTGAAGTGGTTCTTTTTCAGACTATTTCAATCGAAAATAAGAATGATTTTCACTCTAAAACGTCTAGTCCCTAATTTCACTCTTTGGAATTTAAAGAGTAGGCCTATATGTTTATATCTTCATACTTGACATATCGTTTTAGTACCTAAAACATCATTCGCTAACATATAATTTATACAGATAATTGATTAATCTATCATTTTTCACAGATTTAGTCGCGTCCATCACAAATCAAATCACAGGTCAATCGTAAGTTGGGTCAAAACAGGGTTTGAACAATGACAACATGATACATTTGTCTCAGCTTTTTTGTTAATGACTCGTGAGTAACATGAGATGACTTGACCTCCACCCTGATTTTTTAGGGGGTGTGGTTGTATTTTTATTGTAAATAAAGCTGCCGCAAAACAAAAGTCTATCCAGAAGACCAATCATTGTGACAAACTATCGGGGATATTCTCTTTTAAACTGAAGGCACTGGTGGAGGCGCTCATGCGTTCCCTGAAGAACGGTCTGCCGCCCAAGCTGTTTACCCCTGAGGCTCAAGAGGCTTGGCAGAACCTGATGAAGATGGTGGCAACGTCCATGAGCAAAACAATGAGGTATGACCTCAGGAACCTCTCAGAGGCCAATTCTATGGTGGTGCTCGGCACAGAAATTTGCTAAGAACAGAATGTCATTTTGCTTAGCACAACATTTGTTGCCATTGCAAAATGCCATAGCAGCATCTTCTTTTTCGCAGTTCAATGAAATTATCCCCTGGTCTCCATAATAGTCGAGTATACATTGGAACCATGAAGTCGATATAAGGGTGAGAGTCGACTCAAAGTTGGTTACGGTGATCAACAAAACCGTTATAGCTTACAATATCGGGATTAACAGGTGCCATAGGTTCCAACTTTGTATAATATTTTAACAAAATGAGAAAATATTTCATTTACACAATTTAATTGCCGCCAATAATTAGGCCGATGATAAGCCTGTGCTGACCTCTAAATCTCCTTGAGCTATTTTTTTCCAGGAAACGCGCCCGCCGGCCAGGGTATGCATTTACGGGTAGTACAGGAACCGGGCACCCTATTGAAGTAAAACAAGTGTACCCGGGTACCCGTGAAAGAGACCCAACCCCAAAATTTAAATCCCTGAAGTTCTCCGAAGGGCTTAGCTTTACGGTGAAAACTGCAACTTTCACCAGCGTTATCTGTTGCCCGTTAAAATGCACATAAACGTAAAATCTGTTTTGGTTTTCCAGATGGCCTGATTTTCATTTTGAAAATTCCTCACAAATGGCATATACAACTTTTCTTTTCACTGTCTGAGAAGTTACTAAGTAATTTGTAAAGTTGGTTACGGGTACCCGATCCCATAATCTGGAACCGGTTCCTGACATCAGCGGTCGGGTGCTCGGGTACCCGGTTCTGATGCACACCCTGTATAGTTAGTTCCCTTAATTTGTCGCTGACCTGTATGCATTGTCAGACAGTTCTTGGTTTTCCCATTGGACCGATCCAGTAAGCACCGCCCCATGGTGTTCTGACCAATCACAACCTTGATTTATGTCCGATGTGCGTGCACAAAAGTTCGACATGCGTGCACGCGCGTATGATGCGCGCGGCAGGAAAATGCAGCGTGGCATTGGAGAGGAGCACGTGTTAATTTGCCCACGTGCGCAGTGGGTGGTGCTTACTGGATCGGTCCATTGTCAACCGGTTTGGCTTACTGCTTATGAAATAGTTCTTACACATACTGAGTTCAGATGAAATAAATACAGCCAAACCGAGGACAGCCGGCCGAGTTTCAAAGTTGACCCAAACCGGGTACTCAAAACTACACTCACTGACGACAGAAATTGGCATGAATGTGTGTGCCGCCTTAATTGTGTTTCAAGCTAAATCAAATACTAAAAGTGATTTTGTTTTCGCCAAAATTAATTGAACAGGAGCGGCAGTAGCGAAGATGAGGGGCCGATTTCTTCCAAAAACAAGCGCCTGGTCCAGGCTAGCTGGAAGATCATGGAAAAAGACGCAGTTAACCTGGGAGCAGTCCTTTTTGCCAGGTGACAATGTTTTTTTAAGCCTCCTAGTTGACAGAGGGTTGACAGTGATCTATAAATCAGAAGGACATTAATGAAAATTGTTCGTACAAACGTTCTTATTTAAAATCTTTGAGTATTGGTTTGGATAATCTATGCATCACGAATTCCACGATGAAATTCCTTAATGTCGAAGTGTTTTTTTTTTTCGTATTCATTATGAAAGACTTTTGGAGAAGAATCCTTCCATTCAGAAACTCTTTCCCTTTGGCAAGCTGAACCTACCGCCGGACAAGCTGAGGCAGAACCCGGACCTGCGAGCCCATGGCAAGGGGGTCATGGAGACGATTGGAATTCTGGTTGCCAGTCTCGACGATCTTAAGGACATCGTTCCTACGTTAAAAGAACTCGGCGCCAGGCATAACAGTTACGGCGCCAAACCAGAACACTTCCCTGTAAGTTTTGTTTTTCGAGTAATATTACATATTGGGACAGGGTTTGACGGCTTCCTTTGGATCTCTCACTATTAGACGCCTTAGCTATGTCTTTGAGACTTCTCTACAGGTACTATCATGGGATGTGCGCAGGTTCAAACTCTGCACTTCTCGTTCCTCCATCGCGTACCTTTACCAACTTTACCCACTCTACTCGCAGTCTCCTCTCATCCATTTACCGTTTTTTTCATCCAAGCCCTGGTACAATGAAGTACTCTTCAAGTTGCTTTTCTCGTACCGTCTCACTGTGGATCTCCTCACTTTTTTTCCTTTTGGTTTCAGGCCTTGGTTGAAGCTTTCATGTTTTCCATGAAGACTCGAGTTTCGGCAGAGGTGTTCACGGCTGAGGTGCAAGAGGCATGGAGGAACGTCTTGAAGGTTGTGGATGTTACCATGAGCACCTCTATGAGGTAACCTCTCAACTCTCAGCTTTGATAGATCAATAAATCAGTACAGATGTTCTATAGTGTAATACACTCGCATAATATGCATTTGACTTCTCCTGATGTCATCTGCACGTCTTGAAGGTGTTAAATCATGTTAGGCTGGTGAGTCGATCTGCAAAATGCACTGAGAATAATTAATTCAACGGATTCTTGCCAATTCAAAGCCTATACATCTTTGTATTAGTCTTATTCCTTTTGTGTCCTCTTTTGATTGGTTCCTTCCTTCGCAGCAGCCATTCGAACGGTGCATCAGATGTAACGATATCTCCCAAAGACAAGCAGCTGGCACAGGGGAGCTGGAAGTTCATTCAAAAAGACTTGGTCAACTTGGGCGCCAGTATGTTTGTAAGGTTGGTAGACTATTTTTTTCTCATAACAATGAAGTATGAAAAAAAACACCTAGGAACGTCTATGAAAAAGACACAAAGGAACGCACGGTTTGGGGAGTCAGGGTGGCGCAGTGACGGTTTCTTTCTTCGCCTCCCAGATCCACCTCTATGTGGCCTGGGTTCGATTCCTGCCCGGACCTTATGTGGATCGGGTTTTCAGTCCCTACCAGATTCTGGGGGTTTTCCCTGAACATTCTTCTCGGGGTGTCCTCCTACCTGTAAAACTATCAATTCTTTTCATAGTCTCCTGTATACAGGTTTCCTCAGGCTTTCGAGCTACAGTGCCTGGGGCACTTTTGAGGAATCATTGGCTTCATTACCAGAAAGAAATAAAACACACAAACACACAAACAAACACCCCAACAACCCAACAAACAAAGCATAATATTATTTACGAATGCATTCTTCAAATTAAATCTGTAAATTTTATTCGAAGGTGTACAATCGAATGGCTTTTTAATAGTCGCATGCATGTTGTCAGGAGATTTTACCTCCACACGGGGAATTTATTCATCTTTGGCTGTCTTTTTCGTCATTCAGGCTTCTGGAAAAGAATCCAGGCATACGGAAAACTTTCAGCTTCGGTAGGCTCAACTTACCGCCGGACAAGCTGAGGCAAAACCCGGACCTGCGAGCGCATGGCAAGGGGGTCATGTTGACGTTTGGGACTTTGGTGTCAGGAGCCGACGACCTGGGGAAAATCATTCCTATGATGGAAGACCTCGGGGCTAGGCATAAGACCTACGGCGCCAAACCTGCGCACTTCCCGGTAGGAATGCCCAGTTAACAAAAAATATTTTTTGTGTGTTAATGGAATTTGCTTATTAGTATTACAAGGCTGAAAGTCACTCAATGGAAAGGGCTACTATAAAACAAGGAACAGAGACGGGCACAAGGGTCGCTTGGCCCTGGCCTGTACACCAAACAGTCCTAAAGATACGTGCTAAATAAGGCTACATTAATTGTCCTTATCTGAAAACATCTACAAGGCCTAAAGGGTCTCTTGACAGATCATGTTCAATAAAGAACCCCTTGGCCACAGGGTGATCAGCAAAGATGTCGTTATACCTTTACCTTCCCTGTTGATGATTTTTCACAATCTAAATGGACATCACCGTTTGGGGTTTCAGGCTATCGTTGAGGCGTTCATGTACTCCTTGAAGAAAGGTCTGTCACCCAAGATATTTACGCCTGACGTTCAAGAGGCATGGAGGAACATCTTGAGTGTGGTAGCTGTTACAATGGGCAGCACTATGAGGTATGCTTCCTCCGCCACCTACATTATTCGTTACACCTTTTCAAATCATTTCCTCCATTCCCAGTGGTGCTTGTAATGGCGCTTCATACCAATGCCTCAAAGCGCTCCGCAATAGATATTTGTTGTTACCCCTGTTCATAGAGTTGATGAAAAATAGAGGGCTACTGAAGAGTTCATAACCTATTTCCAGTGTCGTAGACGAGACCTTTTATGGGACCTCAAACACTTGTTCATAATAGAACATTAGATTCGATTTAAGTGCAACGTGAATTGAATAAAAAACTTTTTAAGCTTTCACTTTAGGCATAAAATAAATAATGATGGATTGTTTAAGTGTTAAATTAAGATCTTAACCTGTTATTTGATTGAAGGCTGTGAAAGGTCAATGAATACTGATAGTAGTAGTTTTCCTTCGACAAATAATGACAATTTTACTTAACTTTAAAAAAAATAAAACAATCGAAACATACGCGGTCGGGAAAGGTCTTTTGAAAGGTGTCTTCTACATCAGTGCAAGTTTCATGATAGCTTCCTGTCATGTTTAATTTATCTTGTGTCACTCGTTATTCCTTTGCAGTAGCGATGAATCTGGAGTGTCAGAAGAGGAATCAACGGCATCTCCGATATCTCCCAAAGACAAGCAGTTGGTCCAGAATAGCTGGAAGTTCGTTCAAAAAGACTTGGTCAACTTGGGCGCAGTTATGTTCGTAAGGTAAAGTCCCCTGATCGTCTGTTCAAGAAGACACAGTCTTTTTAATCGACCTGCTCAAAAGAACATCCCGGATAAATTGTCAAAATATCCCAAAGGGATAATAAAAGCAACTTTTAAAAGACTAAGACCCATGCACTTTAAAGCAAGTAAAAACATCATCATACACCAAAAAATCTTGCTTTTCAATGACATTCTCGGGAATGCATGTAGCCCAAAACGAAACATCCAAGCTGCATTCAACTTGACCTAAGCTCGATAAGAATTGGAACCCTTTCCATCTATAGAGCATCTCTGATGATATCTGTCCATAAATTAATTAATTCAATATCAAGACCGGCATGCCTGTTCGCTTTTCTAAAAGGCTTCTGGAGAAGAACCCTTCCGTGCAGAATCTCTTCTCCTTTGGCAAGTTGAACCTGCCGCCCGAGAAACTGAAACAGAACCCGGACCTGCGCGCCCACGGCAAGGGGGTCATGGAGACGATCGGCACGGCAGTTGCTGGGCTAGATGACTTGGGGAGGATAGTTCCTATCCTAGAGGAAGTCGGAGCTAGACACAAGATTTACGGCGCCAGACCTGAACATTTCCCAGTAAGTTATGTCCCCAGATTTTATTTTTTCACACTCTAAAAAGTTCTGGGTCATATATTGACTTGATTCTTTTCTTGGTGAAAAGCACACCTTTCCGGGTAAAAATAACCCCTTTTCGGGTCAAAATTACACTTCACTGGATCATTTTCCGGATCATTTGGACCCTTTGAAGTATCAGGATAATAACAAAGATAAGGGGGGGGACCTGCAGATGGACTGGATACAGATGTTCTCAAGGATGGTATATATTCGGTTTGTTTTCATTGCAGGCTGTTGTTGAGGCATTAATGTATTCCCTCAAACAAGGTCTGTCACCAAATGTCTTCACGTCTGAAACGCAGGAGGCGTGGCGAAACATCTTGAAGGTGGTTGATGTGACGATGAGTCGAACTATGAGGTAGTAACATTTTTATTATTTTTTTTAAATTGTTTTTTTTAACGTAAGGTTATATACAGATGCTTGTACATAAGCGCCTCTATATGAGGTTTATAGTCAAAAACAGAATAAAGAGAAATCGTAGGCCTAAAGGAAATTATTTAATTTTGTCAAAACGTACTGGTCAGATTGGTTGTTGAACAGGAATGATCAGAAACTGCCTTCTACCCAGTTCGAAATATGGCAATGTGTATCTTTTGGCAAAATGGGAGTCCAATATTTTCATCGTTATAAGACAAATGAGTTATTTTATGTTCCAATAATCATTATACAACAGACTGGATGAGAACGGAAATTCAGAGGAGGGGCTGATATCTCTGAGAGACAAGCGTCTGGTTCAGAAAAGCTGGAAGGTCATGCAAAAAGATTCCGTCAACTTGGGCGCCGCACTTTTTGCCAGGTTGGTTATCTGATTTCTTTTTTTCATTTCTATTTTTGTTTTAATCAACCAGGCCGGGTCTGCTGCCAACCATGAATGATGTTGCTGCTGAGTCTATTTATTTTTAATAATAAAATGACAATAAGATTTATATTGCGCTTTCTACGGGCGTTTCCAAGCGCTCTCTTGTGTGTGTGCCATTTGACACAAACAACGTTTTGACTCAAAAGAGTGTCATTATGACACGGATGATTGTCATTTTGACATGGAAGAGTGTCATTATGACACGGAGGATTGTCATTTTGACATGGAAGAGTGTCATTATGACACGTAGGTTTGTCATTTTGACATGGAAGAGTGTCATTATGACACGGAGGATTTTCATTTTGACCTGGAAGAGTGTCGGGGCAAATCTGGCTGGATTCTGAGTCGAATCTGACCCGGAACTTTATAGGGTGTGTAGCTGACTGAAAGGTTCCAATGTTTTCTTTGAATGTCCAAGGTTTCTGGATAGGAACCCATCCATTAGGGAGCTCTTCCCCTTCGGCAAGTCGTCAGTTCCTCCCCAGATGCTGAAACACAACTCGGACCTGCGAGCTCACGGCAAGGGGGTCATGGAGACGATCGGCACGGCAGTTGATGGTCTGGATGACCTGGGGAAGATAGTTCCCATCCTGAAGGACCTTGGGACTAGACACAATGTCTACGGCGCCAAGCCTGAACACTTCCAGGTAGAAAACAGAACCAACCAACCGACAAACAATAACTTTAACTTTGTAGGCGCAAACAGATTCGAATTCCGGGTTGTTGACGAAACTTTACATGTTGCTGTTATTTAAAATTTTTATTATCTCTGATTTTCAGATTGGATTGGTTAAAATCACGTGATATTTCCGCTGTCTATACCCAGAAAAATGGTGCCATTCTAGCGCCATCATTCGAGCGAAGGTAAAATCTTTCACAAATAGATGTGAAGAAAGGAACAAATCAAACTCACAAACAACAAACGGAGGAAAACGATCCGACTTTAATCAACTGTCGTTTTTCAGAGTATGAGACAGCTATGTACACGAATATATATTCGTATATAGACATTCCCTTGGTCACACTAGGCAATACAGGGTGAGTAAAAAAAAGAAACCCAAAGGGCAGGACCATTTTTTAAAATGAAATTCAGCATGTAGCACTTTCAAGATCTAGGATATAAACAAGTCAGAACGACCAATTAATCAGCTTTTTTTAGTACAAGAATCATTCAAATCATTCGTGTAAAATCGGTAACGCAGACTACAAACAAGGGTGAACAAAAAAATCACACAGAAGTCATCAAAATGGGAAAAAGTCGATTGCAATTTTTGTTTGGTACTTATTTGGCAACGCTATGGCCACATAAAAACCATGATCATATCAGAAACGTCAGTTCTATACGGTGTGTAAAAAAGAGCGGTTCTAAATTAGCACGGTGTGGTATTTATATTGCACCTATGGCTATAGTCTGATTCAACATAGGTACCATAAGATGCACATTATAGAACCATGGTTTTACAGTGTGGTCTGGTATCCAGAATACATTGCTATCATCCATCCTGGTATCTTGTCTTTATTTTGATGCAGCCCCTAGTAGACGCCTTCATGTATACCATGCGAAATGGTCTGTCATCCAAGGAGTTCACACCAGACGTTCAAGACGCGTGGGAAAACATTTGGAAGGTGCTGGCTGAAGTTATGAGCAACGGCATGGAGTAGAATCTACACTGTAAAAACAGTGTTTAGCATTGAAACACATCAGAACGTGTTTAGAGTTTAAAACGTATAGGAATGTGTTTCAATTCTAAACGTATACCACTTTGTAATGTTGTGAAACTAAACGTGTTTATGTTTTGGACATGTACTTAGGATTGTATATCTAAGTGCGCTTAGGAAGGTGTTTAAATGCTAAACATAATTATTATTCATTGAACATGTCAAACGGATAATGCGTGTCACAGAAAAAAGACATCTAAACATGTCATAATGCTAAACGTGTGGAAAAGTGGGTACAGAATAAGTGTTTAGAAATGTGTTTAAATCCTAAGCACCACTTTTACAGTGTAACTGCAGATTTTTATGCGATCACTTTGAAATGTGATATAACCTTATTCACGAGTCGGCCAAATTACATTGAAAGCAAGGTAGAGTCTTCATTTTTGGAACTTGCGAAAAGAAATGAAAGCAATGACATAAAGTTAATTACAAGTTAATACCAGTCTGCTCTGATGAATAATTTAAAATGTGTGATTAACCATGCCCTAATGTTTTAAGCCACATTTAAAAAAACAACAACTGAAAGTGAAGCTAAAATGAATACATAGTCTGGCACCATCCCATTCAACAGGTCACAATTTATAAAATACATTCAGGGAACACGACCAAAATGGCTTCCTCGTGAGGTCCATGGTCCATTAGTCCTCCAGTGTCAAGTCACGAGCAAAACTTTTGAAAAGCGACAAAGACACTCCTTTATTATTCTTTGACTTGTCATGGACTTGTAACGGACTAGTAAACCAACTTTACAAATAAAATATAAATCTCATTTTTACACTGTGATTGATTCCATATCATCCAGTTTTGTAATTTGACAGGTAAGGATCGTGACGTATATTTTATTCCAGTCAAAAAAAGTTGTATATTTTATCCTAGTCAAGGTTTTACATTTATGATATTTTTGGCTCGGTAGTGAGTAGACTTTTAGGAGAATGTTAGCATAACAGTGCGGTGTTTACCGAAGACAAGGCCAGATACTTCGTGCGAATGCTTTACGCGTATCCGTGATGTCATTTTCGTTTTGTATAATGCACGAGCTTTTACAACTATCGCAATTCTCTGCGACTTTTTGCTGGTTTTTAAGGACCTTTTTGACATTTGTGACTATGTGTAATCCTTCTTCTAATGGTCTAATGATGTTACTTTACAGTCAACACACGAAAAAAGTCACTAAGACTAAAATATCCGCCAATTTTCTTGTATAAAGACTGTGTTTTTGTATCTATTTTATACTTAAGAATATTTCTAAAATTTCAATTAACGAACAGGTGTTTTCACTGATGAAGAAATGTATATATTTATATATAAACGTCTACACGTTTACCGCTCTACATTGTAATCAGCTGTTTGGGGCATTATTTTATGTATACAGCCGTGTACATTGTTGTTGTCAAGTCAACAAGTTAGCTGTTTTTATAAAGTAAAATTAGATTGTTTTTGTCTATAGTTTTGAAATGATATGTTTTAAGAAAATGTATTCTGATCATAAGCGGATAAATTCTCGTATAATTATAAAATCCAATGTATCTGAAACGGCTACTTATCATATAGCAGTATCGATAGAAAACAATTAAGTCCATGAAAAGTAGAAACGATCTCCTCATGAAACACTTTATACAAATAATAAATGTTTATGAGTGCAATGGTAAGAATAATTTCATGAGATGACAGATGGAATGCTCCATTCCACGAGCCGAAGCTGAGTTGAATGGAACATTCCATCTGTCACCGAGTGAAATTATTCTTTCCATTGCACGAATGTGATACATTCATTTTGTTTTATACAACACCTGAATAAATCCTCGTCATCTGATTGGTCAGAGCTACCAATAGTGTGACGTGCAGTTAAACTTTTATTTACCGTGGAATAGAACTTTTATTTTTGCAGTGCGGCCGGGTGGTGGGTTTGGGACGAATTATTCAATGACAAGTGGTCAACGATCCACCAATCAGATGACAGGGATTTATTCAGGTGTTGTTATAATCCCGTATGTAGCTTCTACAGAAGAAAACCTTTTGGACTGAAATATAGGCTAATGAGCAAGGGCGAGGCCTCATTGAACGGCAGAATGGAGTCAAATGCACTGCTATTTTCCATACTTTGGTTTGTCTTATTTTTCTTCTTATAGTATCACTTGAGTGTGTATAGTTCTGATACATTTATGAGAGATATTAGAGAATTAGACCTCGTGCTCCAGGTGATACACCAGGGGAGTGAACTTTTTATTAAATGCCGTATTCAACCGTTTAGAAATAAGAAATCGGTGTATAATAATTATTAGTTTAAAATGTTTTGAATAGAAATCATGTTTTATATAGAAATCGATTATTCTATATCTCATTAAACTATTAGTAGAATACTTTCCAACGAGACATGGTAATTTTCGAAAGGTATGTATATTAATATTAATTGCGTATTTTCTCGCAATTGTGTTAGAAGAAAATTACACTCGAACAGCCTGTTACGATTGATTGTACGAATGTGAACGTCGTCGGACCCTTTACATCATTTCTACATTAAATCTGTATACACATATTTTTTAATCGACCGTACATTGTATACGATTAAATTTATTTCTTGTCAGGTTTGTCTCATTTTTAGAACATTTATTTTGGGGTTGCATTTACACCTCTAGCGCACCAAAAGATCCGTCTCAATTCATGTCGGACGGCAAGAAATGTGAAGTTTGTCAGTCCGGCCTAATTCTTCATGAACTCAACGTGAGTAGATTTAATTTCGTTCGGTGTCTCTTTCGAAAGTAAATAACTTTCGTGGTGCTAGAAAAACAACAATTAAACAGTATTTTCGGCGTGATCAAAGATAGCAAGGGCCGAACAATTTGGGCAGTTATCCATTCCTCAGAAGTGTCTGGAAATAATAGGAAAACCAACCTTGACTGATTTTTTTTTCAATTCTCGCACTTTATTACGTGTTGTTTTCTGACAACAGAGGGCGCTGTTGCTAAGATTGCGGGCAAACAATGTGCACATTTTGAACCCACAAGAATTATGGTGCTTACTCAGTGTCCGACCGTCGGTGGATTCAAGATTTTTGAAGGGGGGACTAAACTTGTGCACGTGGCTTGGCTGTCGATTTTCAAGATTTTTTCGGACGGGGGCGAGGAGTGACGTTAAAACACAAAAAGACCAAAGGCCTGATGCAATGAATCAAAATTTGTAATTATGAGCATGGGCCTATAACGTTATTCAGTGAAGTTCGAATTTGGGATTATTTGTCGGGGAAGGATGTTTGGTCACCCCAACGTAAGTTATTTATTCGATGGCTGGAAAAACAACACCTAACACCAATACAACAAAACTGACCACGGCAACAAAAGTTTCCGGGATGTCGCTGAAATACTGAAGCTTCTGCGTGATTTTGCTTTACATGAACATGGACGATCGTAGGCCATAGGGCCTATCTGCGATGACATTTTGATCAGCGTTTGACTAGAGACGTTCGCACGTTGCAATCAGTGCGCAGGCGTAAGTTGCGATACAAATCAATCGTTTGTCGACTAAGGGCCCTTGCCCGAACTTGCTCGTAATTTGCGTCAACGGCTTTAGCACATCTTTGCGCCCCCAGCGGCCACGTACAAAAACAATCAAGTGGCGGAGGGAGGGGTCACGCCCCTTGAGAGTGTCAAGGAGTAATTTCATGATTAATTTTGCATTGTGGCGATTTGAATTCATTTCTTGCAGTGTTAGTTGCATATTTTATATTTTTGTTTTTACATTGGTGAAGCGAAACAAGGGGCCATGCCTCCCTGAGGATCATTTGTACTATACACGCATTTCGCTCGTTCCAATTATAACACTTCTCAAACTCCAAAGAAGAATGTTCACAACCTGATCAGTTGAAATTTCAGCTCAGTGCATTATCACACGTTTCGTGGAAATATTGAAAATGATGCAAAAACCTTCTGATCACGAAACACGATTTTGACTTTCAAAATATCAGTCCATAATATTGACGGTCATTTGAAATTTCTCACGTTTCTTAAAATTCAGCAAGCCAGACGGAATAATTTCATGGGGTGTTTGGTATACCATTGCGATCTTCAATCCAAGAAAGCTTTTTGATATCGGTAGGTTGGTTTTACCACGTGTGTCAACACCGTGTCCCATATCACGGCAAACCGATCTTTGTTATCTCTCTCTGCTTGTTAAGAAGATTGTGAGATTTGTGCATTTTCTGGGTAAGTTCCCTGATAGTTCGAGTAGTTTGGACTGCTCTGTATGCAAGGGCGGATCCAGAACACAATTTTTTTTTGGGGGGGGGGGGCCCAAAAAAATTTGGTCCCCAAAAAGTGTGTCCCAAAAAATTACAGCGTGGGGTTCGGAGCCCGCTTAAGGTCCCCGAAATTTTTTTGGATTCTAGATGCTCTGTGGTGCGATCTGAGGCAATTTCTGACCACTTTAACCAATGTTTTTTGAGGAAACGATAGTGGTGTACTCATTGTCATGCCTTTATTGCGAACATGGGCGTCGCGGTGGGGGGGGGGGGGGGGGCGCAGCGCAAGGGGGGGGGGGGGTACTTCCCCCCGGAAAACGAAAACAAAAAAAAGGAAAAAGTGGTGTGAAGCCATATTGATGTTTATTTGATGGGGGGGGGGGGGGGTAGGGCAAAAGCTCCCCTCGAAAAATGATAAATTGAAAATACAATGAACAACTTAAGGAATTTGGGGGAAAACTTTGCTTTGCCCCCCTCCCCCTGGAAAAAAATCCTGGCGACGCCCATGATTGCGAAGTCACTAAAAAAAAATTTTTTTGGGGGGGGGGGAGGCAGGCTCGATGGGGGCAGGCTCGGTCCTGGTGCAGGTTCGATGCTCAGCTCCGGTAGTTCCAACGCCGGCTGCACTTCTGACCACCGGCGTCGGCACATCGTCAATCCGAACACGACGTGCCCTCACCCCAGACTGCGTGGCCCGTGTACGGGGACTCCCACGCGGCCTCTTGGCAATGCCGACATCCATCCTGCTCGCACTACGCAGAAGCTGGGGCTGATGACCGGGTGGACTTAGGCATTCTTGGACAGTTACTCGATGAGATCAAACTTAAACCAGACAACGAAACTACTTTTAGAATTTCGAAGATAACCTCGGATGAAATTCGAAGTTTAAACTTGAAGCTGAACAGGAGAATAGCGATAACGATGTTTCCACATTCAGTTACTGCAACGAAGTGGTCTTCTCCACGTGACAACAGTCCCTTTGCCCCTCCCCGATCCGCCCTTGTCTGTATGTAGCAGTATCTGACATCCTTTTAGCTTAGTGACTGCAAGTTATATCCAAACCGTCTCAATGATTCGGTCAAAGCATACAGCAGCTTTATATTGACCGGTATACTTACTGCATGTGCAGCAATTAACCAAAGCGGGCGCCCTTAACACACACGCCAACAGTTCTTTGCGTGTGGTTCGTCGGATTACAGTCAACTCGACC